TCAAGGACAGATCCCAAGTATAGACTCTGCAAGGATGAAACAATAGATCACATCTTCTGCTGCTGCAAGAAGATCACGGAGATACTACAAGCAGAGGCACAACTCCATGGCTCAGAAGATCCATTGGAACTTGTGCCACAAATACCAACTGCCTGCGACAAAGAACTGGTGGGATCACAAGCCAGAAAAAGTTACACAAAATGAACATGTCAAACTACTCTGGGACTTCCTCACCATCGTAGGAAAAAACCAAGTATGGATTGTCGATGTTGCAATCCCAGGTGACAGCAGGATTGAAGAGAAACAACTGGAAAAGCTGACATGATATGAGGATTTAAAGATCGAACTGCAAAGACTCTGGCACAAGCCAGTAAAGGGGATCCCAGTGGTGATGGGCACACTGGGTGCAGTGCCTCAAGACCTTGGCCTGCACTTAAACACAATCGGTGCTGTCAAAATCACGAACTGTCAGCTGCAAAAGGCCACCCTATTGGGATCTGCACGCATTATTTGGCAATACATCACACAGTCCTAGACACTTGGGAAGGCTCCATCGTGTGATCCAACACAACAGCCAGCAGAGTGATCTTGTCTGCTGTGGACTCATCTTGCTGTGTTTCCAATAATAATAATAAATCATGTGTCGGACAGATGGCAAGCTATTTAACCTCAGCAGACTGAAAGCCAAAACCAAGGTTACAACAACATCTGTTATAGAACTCCAGTATGCTGATGACATCGTCCTGTGCGCATTCAGAAGACCTACAAGCCACTCTAAACACCTTCGCAGAAGCATACGAGAAGCTCGGCCTGTCATTGAACATCGAGAAAACCAAAGTGCTCTTCCAGCAGTCACCAGCCAATCCCTCTCCAATGCCAGAGATACAGCTTAATGGTGTAACATTAGAAAATGTTGACCATTTCCGCTACCCTTGGCAGCCACCTCTCCACCAAAGTCAACATCGATACCGAAATACAACACCGCCTGAGCTCTGCGAGTGCAGCATTTTTCCGAATGAAGCAGAGAGTGTTTGAGGACTGGGACATCCGTAGGGATACCAAGGTGCTTGTTTATAAAGCTATTGTCCTCCCAACCCTGCTATATGCCTGTGAAACGTGGACTGTCTACAGACGTCACATGCAACTCCTGGAACGATTCCATCAGCGCTGCCTCCGGAAAATCCTGCAAATTCTTGGGAAGACAAGCGGACAAATGTCAGCATGCTGGAAGAAGCAAAGACCACCAGCATTGAAGCGATGGTCCTCCCACCAACTCCGCTGGACCGGCCACGTTGTCTGGATGCCCAATTGCCTAAGTAATAATAATAACAGCTTTCTTGTTCTAGTGTGCCTTCCCAGAATAAGGAAATACTCTCAGCAACAGGTCCTCTAAATGCACTTTATCATTGATTTAGGATTGTTTGCTCGCCCTATCTCTCGCCGAAAATTCTCTCCCAGTATTTTACCTTGTTCATGCCCAGGATTATTTTTTAATTTTTAATTATCACATTTGTCCCAGCCATAGGTTTTTAAATGCTTGTTGTTACCGTTACTGTTTATTGTTTATTTTTTGTTTATGAGATTTATTTTGATTGTTTTGTATTGATGTTTTGTTATTGCTTTTATTATTGTTGTTCTATGGGCTCGGCCTCATGTAAGCCGCACCGAGTCCCTTGGGGAGATGGTAGCGGGGTATAAATAAAGTTTTGTTATTATATTTATTTATTTATTTATTTATTTCAAAGTTTTATATACCGAGCTTCTCAACTCCTTAGAGGGACTCAGCCTGGTTTCCAACCATAAAAACACATACAATTGGTAAAATATCAAAGTACATAATTACAATAAAACACTGGAAAAACACATAAATTTAAAAACTACAGTGGTCAGTCGTCGTACTAAAATCGAATATACACCGTCTTCCATCCAGAACGTTGTCTCATTCTTCGAAAGCCTGTCTCCACAACCACAACTTCACCTGTTTCCTGAATGTCAGGATTGTTGGGGCGGTTCTGACCTCAGGCGGGAGAGAGTTCCAGAGTCGCGGGGCCACCACCGAGAAGGCCCTGTCCCTCGTCCCCACCAGCCGCGCTTGTGAGGCCGGTGGGACCGAGAGCAGGGGCCCTCCAGACGATCTTAGTAATCTTGATGGTTCGTAGGGGAGAATACGTTTGGAGAGGTAAACAGGGCTGGAGTCGTTTAGGGCTTATTATTATTTTTACACCCCACCACCATCTCCCCAAGAGCAGCTTACAAAGGGATATCAGCCAGCATGCCATTCAAGAAACAGCTTTCTAAGATCTACAGAGATGCTTGCAGGCACACATCAGCAAGCAAGAGTCCAAAAGTGGCAGGGTGAAACCCAGCACCTCAATCAGTGGCTGAGACCAGTGTCAAAGAGACAATAAACATTTTTCCTGAACATTCAGCTTGAAAATAGGAAGAGCCCCCATTGCAAGGCCATGTTTCGGAGAGACCGAAGGCTGCCGGGATGGAGTCCGCACCTTTGCGAAAGGGATAATCGGCCGGAGGAAAGGCTGCCGCTAATCTCCCGAGGCGTTTGTAATCACGGCTGACCAGCGAAGGGGGAGGGACCCAGAGAAGCGCCCACTAATGCCTCCCAAGCCCCTGGACAACTGGACAGAGGTCAAAGCAGATTAATGGCATTAGCACCTTCTCTGGGCCATCTTCCTTCCCTTTCTCTGGCACGCCCAAAGCCCCCGCCTGCCAATCAGCATTGGGACCCCCGCCAGCAGAAGGGGGCCAGGGCCAAAAGGGGCTTTGCTAGTGTATGTTGAATGCCGTTGAGTATAGTCAGCCTCGTACAACTTGAAACGGAGGCTGGCAAGGTCAAACCGTAACAGAGGCGCACCTGCATACCTTTTGGCACACCTCGACCGGCCCTGATGTTTCCTGGATCCGCGGGACTCTCAGCACACAGCGATACCCACTCAACTCCAGTTTCCCGACCCTAAACACGTATCCTTCCTGACAGGCCGCCTGATTTTGGCATCCCTCCCAGTACGGAGCTGCTCCAATTTAATTAGCCAATTTCAAAGGCGTTTTCAAATTAATTCGCGGCCGCGTCTCGCAAGCCGCGCTGCAGCTGGGAGGCCAGAACCCAGCCAAGAAATAACTGGCGTCCCTTTCTCTCTCTGTCTCCGTGCAGTTCCAGATTTCCAGATCCTTATTTACTTACTTAGGTGATCCCTTGCTCTCTGATGGTCTTCCAGGTGTGGCACCTTGGTGGTGGGTCCGTAGGTGACTATTCTTGATCTGCATCTTCTCCCAAAGTGAGGACATCGGTCTACAGGTGGAAGGCAATCCCGGTCAGGGTTGCCTTGACGTGCCTTCCTCTTGGCACGTTTCTTTTTCTCCCTCCATTAATTCCTCTTCGAATCCCGCAGCACTGCTAGTCACAGCTGACCTCCAATTGGAGCACTCACAGGTCAGGGCTTCCCCATTCTCTCTTGGTGTCTATGCCACAGTTTTTAAGGTTGGCTTTAAGCCCATCTTTCAATCTATTTTCCTGTCCACCAATGTTACGTTTGCCGTTCTTGAGTTCGGAGTAGAGTCACTGCTTTGGGAGATGGTGATCTTTGAGCATTCGGACAACGGTCCGGGTTTTTTGGGGGGTTTTTGTCGTGTCAGGAGTGACTTGAGAAACTGCAAGTCGCTTCTGGTGTGAGAGAATTGGCCGTCTGCAAGTACGTTGCCCAGGGGACGCCCGGATGATTTGATGTTTTTATCATCCTTGTGGGAGGCTTCTCTCATGTCCCCGCATGAGGAGCTGGAGCTGATAGAGGGAGCTCATCCGCCTCTCCCCGGATTTGAACCTGTGACCTGTCGGTCTTCAGTCCTGCCGGCACAGGGGTTTAGCCCACTGCGCCACCGGGGGCTCCTTTAACGGTCCGAGTTAGAATCATAGAATTGGAAGAGACCTCATGAGTCATCCAGTCCAACCCCATTCTGCCAAGAAGCAGGAATATTGCATTCAAATCACCCCTGACAGATGGCCATCCAGCCTCTGTTTAAAAGCTTCCAAAGAAGGAGCCTCCACCACACTCAGAGAGTTCCACTGCTGAACGGCTCTCACAGTCAGGAAGTTCTTCCTCATGTTCAGATGGAATCATGGCTATCATGTCTCCTCTCAGCCTTCTCTCCTGCAGCTCTAAACATGCCCAGTTCTTTAAGCCGCTCCTCATAGGGCTTGTTCTCCAGACCCTGGATCATTTGAGTCGCCCTCCTCTGGACACATTCCAGCTTGTCAATATCTCTCTTGTGGCACAGCTGGTTGGGAGTCAGCTGCATTAATATCACTACTGACTGAAAGGTCATGAGTTCAAAGCCAGCCTGAGTCGGAGTAAGCTTCCAACCATTTGTCTAGCTTGCTGTTGACCTGCAGCCCGAAAGACAGTTGCATCTGTCAAGTAGGAAATTTAGGTACCGCTGATGCGGGGCTACTTTAACTACCATATATACTAGAGCAGCATGCAAAAGAATGAGGAAGTACTCCATCAGTGTCACAAGTGAATGAAGCAACAGCTTCTCCGGTGGCCAGAATTCAAATCATACCCTCATGAAGCTGGAAAGTTAAATAGCCTCTGTGTGTCTGTCTATATATGTTGTGTGTCTATGGCATTGAATGTTTGCCATGTATATGTACATTGTGATCTGCTCTGAGTCTCCTACGGGGCGAGAAGGGTTGGATATTAATACTGTAAATAAATAAACAAACAAACAAACATGACCTTCAGTCTAGCAGAGTCTTGCCTCAATGCTGGTGGTCTTTGCTTCTCCTTCCAGCATGCTGACATTTCCCCGCCTGTCTTCTTCCCAAGAGATTTGCAGGGTTTTTCGGAGCTGATGGAATTGTTCCAGGAGTTGGGTTTGACGACTGTAGACAGTCCATGTTTCACAGGCATAGAACAGGGTTGGGAGGACATAGCTGTATCAACAAGCACCTTCTGTTAACACTGCGGCAATTGGTGTTTCCACAGGTCTTCCAGCGGCGCGAGGACGGCTCTGTGAACTTCTTCCGCGGATGGGAGGCCTATCGGGACGGGTTCGGGAAGCTCACCGGGGAGCATTGGCTAGGTATGGGTATTAGAGCAGTCTCCGAGTTAGGGGAGCATCGGATAACAGTGTTGGATAAAACATAATGTCGGATAAGACTCTACTGTATTGGGAATAGAGAGAGAGTTTAATTGAAGGTGAAATGCTGGAGGAAAAGGAGGGCGTCGAATAAGAGCATTGGATAACATGGAATGTCAGATAAGTGAAGGTCGGATAAGCGAGACGCTATTGTAGTAGTAGTAGCAACAACAACAACAACAATAATAGAAGAAGAAGAAGCAGCAATCCAGGAGACACCCAGTCCAATCCCCTTTGCAATAATAATAATAATAATAATAATAATAATAATAATAATAATCCAATACAACAACCAGCAGAGTGTCTGCTGTGGACTCATCTTGTTGTGTTTCAAATAATAATAATAATAATAATAATAATAATAATAATAATAATAATAATAGAAGAAGAAGAAGAAGAAGAAGAAGATGATAAGCGAAAGTCGGATAAACGAGACTCTATTGTAGTAGTAGTAGCAACAACAACAACAATAGAAAAAAAAGCAGCAGCAATCCAGGGGACACCCAGTCCAATCCCCTTCTGCCTTCATGCAGAAAAACCACAGTCAAAGCACCCCCAACAGATGGCCATCCAGCCTTTGCAATAATAATAATAATAATAATAATCATCATCATCATCCAATTCAACAGCCAGCAGAGTGTCTGCTGTGGACTCATCTTGTTGTGTTTCAAATAATAATAATAATAAATAATAATAATAATAATAATAATAATAGAAGGAACAGCGTAGGATAAGCGAAGGTCGGATAAGCAAAGGTCGGATAAGCGAGACTTACTGTATACGCAAATATTCTGAAATACAAAACTGTAAGACTCCATCTGTATTTAAATGGCCTTCCATATATATTTCGATTTGGGTCCCATCTTCAAGATTTCTCCGCATTTCCAAAACACTTCTGGCCCCAAACATTTTGGAGAAAGGATACTAAAGCGCCTGTACTGCTTTTTCCCGTTGTAGGCCTGAAACGAATCCACGCCTTGACCACCCAAGCCGCCTATGAGCTGCGCATTGATCTGGAGGACTTTGAGAATGAGACTGCCTATGCGCACTACGGCACCTTCTCGGTGGGCCTGTTCTCGGTGGACCCCGAGGAAGATGGATATCCAATCAACATCGCCGACTATTCCGGGACGGCGGGTAAGGGACTGGGATGGGGACATGGTGGGCATACAAATGTGTTGAAACAGAGGGCAAAAATCTCAATATATCAACAGATAGAATTATTATTATTATTATTATTATTATTATTATCATTATCATTATCATCAATGTCCAAATTTTATTTTGACTGAGATACACAGCAATAATAATAATAATAATAATAATAATAATAATAATAATAATAATAACAGCTTGCATGGAGATTTTGCAGCCGGCATATATTGGAAACTACCCAAAGGCACACAGGTTGTTGTTGTTATTATATATATGTTATTATATTCGCTTATATTCCTCCTTTATCTCAATTGGGACATAAAGCAAATCTGGACTGAGACACAAAGCAAACAGAATAACAACAACAATAATAAATGGCATGGTTTGATTATTTTGCTCACGATTTTGGAATCACAGCAAAGGCACACTGTTTGTTATTGAAATAATAATAATAATATCCTGCTTATAATAATAATAATAATAATAATAATAATAATAATCAACATCATCATCACCACCATTCTCATCTTTATTTATATCCTGCCCTATCTCCCTTATTTTATCACAATCTTATACTAACTTTTATTATAATATTTATTTATATCTGCCTTTCACCTCAATTGGGAAATAATAATAATAATAATAATAATAATAATAATAATAATAATGTGATCCAATACAACAGCCAGCAGAGTGATCTTGTTTGCTGTGGACTCATCTTGTTGTGTTTTGAATAATAATAATAATAATAATAACAACAACAACAACAACAACAACAACAACAACAACAACAACAATAATGATGTGATCCAATACAACAGCCAGCAGAGTGGTCTTGTTTGCTGTGGACTCATCTTGTTGTGTTTTAAATAATAATAATAATAATAATAATAATAATAATAATAATAATAATGTGATCCAATACAACAGCCAGCAGAGTGATCTTATTTGCTGTGGACTCATCTTGTTGTGCTTTAAATAATAATAATAATAATAATAATAATAATGATGTCGATGACAACGATGATGATGATGATGACTTGATGATTTCGCTCATGATCAGGGTCGTCATAAATTGGAAACGCCTCAAATGCACACAGCTATTGTTCTTATTATAATATTTGGGTTGCTGTGAGTTTTCGGGGCTGTCTGGCCATGTTCCATTCTGATCCTGAGCAGACTCGCCAATCCCAGCGATTCTCTGCATATTTCCCATTGCATTCATTCCAACGCATGCCTGTTTTCTTTTATCACTTCCCCAAGTGCAGGACGGTGGGCCACTCGCTCCGAAAAATGCACATTAGGAGCGCATCCGTGCCAGCGCTAATGGCATTGAGATGGCTGGGCCTGTCAGAGAGGCACATTTCCACTTCAAAACCTCCGCTGCGGGATGGAAGTTCCGTGTCGGAAATTGACATTTCACCCTGCGATAAGAGCCGCGGACGGGGAGGGCCCAATTTGCACGGGTGCCCAGCGGTCAGCGGCTGGCGCCAAGATAAATAGGTCTCCCTGACAAGGAAAATAAAAAATACGTTTCATCTCAATGGCTGGATTCCTAATACATTTCAATATATATATGTGCGTGCTTGCGTGTGGCCTTTCGTTTAGCAAACCTGACTTCCTTGTAATGCTGACACCAAGTGAATGCAATGGCAAGAAGAGTCAATGAACTCCCTCCAATTTTAGCTGGGAAAAAGTTACTTCTGAAACGACACCTCCAAGGTTCTTGTAGTATCAAGAGTTGCAGGTGGCCATTTGTTGGGAGGGGTCAGATGATGCCTTCCTTTACAGCAGAATGGGATGGACTGGATGGCCTTTGAGGAACCCTTCCAACCATTGTTGACTGTAGACTGTCTTGGAGTTTGGTGGAGCTTCCTTCCTTCTCTGGAGCTTTCTTAGCAGACACTGGATAGTCATTTGTTGGGAGGGATCAGATGGTGTCTTCTTGCCTGGTAGAATGGGTTGGATTGGATGGCCTTTGAGGAACCCTTCCAACCATAGTTGACTGTAGACTTTCTTGGAGTTTGGTGGAGCTTCCTTCCTTCTCTGGAGCTTTCTTAGCAGACCTTGCATAGTCATTTGTTGGGAGTGATTAGATGGTGTCTTCTTGCCTGGTAGAATGGGTTGGACTGGTTGATCTTTGAGGAACCTTTCCAATTATAGTTGACTGTAGACTCCCTTGAAGTCTGATGGAGCCACCTTCCTTTTCTGGAGGTTTCTTAGAAGAGGCTGACCATCTGTTGAGAGGGATCAGATGGTGTCTACTTGCCTGGCAGAATGGGATTGGACTCGATGGCCCTTGGGGGCCTCTTCCAAGTCTTTGGACATTCTGTCGGGAAGGATCCGATGATGTCTTTGTGCCCAAGAATGGGGTTGGACTGGATGGCTCTTGAAGTCTCCTCCAAGGACACTGTGACTCAATGACGCGTTGTGTCCTCCCACGTCTAGGATTCTATTATCCTTCTTTGGAGTGTTTTAAAACATCAGCTGGATTGTCATCTGTTGGGAGGGATCTGATGGTGTCTTCTTGCTTGAGAATGGGGTTGGACTGGATGGCTCTTGAGGTCTCCTCCAAGGACACTGTGATTCAATTATGTGTTGTATTCTTCCAAGTCTAGGATTCTATTATCCTTCTTTGGAGTTTTTTTTTAAAACAGCAGCTGGATGGTTATCTGTTGGGAGGTATCCGATGGTGTCTTCCTGTCCGAGAATGGGGTTGGACTGGGTGTCTCTTGAGGTCTTCTCCAAGGACACTGTGATTCAATGATGCATTATGTTCTTCCAAGTCTAGGATTCTATGATCCTTCTTTGGAGTTTTTTTAAAACAGCGGCTGGATGGTTATCTGTTGGGAGCGATCCAATGGGATCCRAGAATGGAGTTGGACTGGGTGTCTCTTGAGGTGTCCTCCAAAGACACTGTGATCCAATGATGCATTGTGTTCTCCCAAGTCTAGAATTCTATGATGCTTCTTTGGAGTTTTTTTTAAAAYAGTGGCTGGATGGTCATCTGTTGGGAGGTATCCAATGGTGTCTTCCTGCCCGAGAATGGGGTTGGACTGGGTTTCTCTTGAGGTCTCCTCCAAGGACACTGAGATCCAATGACGCGTTGTGTTCTCCCAAGTCTAGGATTCTATGATCCTTCTTTGGAGTTCTTTTAAAACAGTGACTGGTCATCTATTGGGAGGGATCCGATGGTGTCTTCCTGCCYGAGAATGAGGTTGGACTGGGTGTCTCTTGAGGTCTCCTCCAAGGATACTGAGATCCAATGACGTGTTCTCCCAAGTCTAGGATTCTATGATCTTTCTTTGGAGTTTTTTTAAAGACAGCGGCTGGATGGTCATCTGTTGGGAGAGATCCGATGGTGTCTTCCTGTCTGAGAATGGGGTTGGATTGGGTGGCTCTTGAGGTTTCATCCAAGGACAGTGTTATTGAATGATGCTTTGTGTTCTCCCTCCTTCCCATTCCAGGAGACTCCTTCTTGAAGCACAACGGCATGCGCTTCACCACCAAGGACCTGGACAACGACCACTCGGACAACAACTGCGCCACCTTTTACCATGGGGCTTGGTGGTACCGCAACTGCCACACCTCCAACCTGAACGGGCAGTACCTCAAGGGCCAGCACAGCTCGTACGCCGACGGCGTGGAGTGGTCCTCCTGGACCGGGTGGCAGTACTCCCTCAAGTTCACCGAGATGAAGATCCGGCCCGCCCGGGAGGAGAACTAGCCACAAATCCCCTCCGCCATGCCCCTCTCCTCCCCTCCGAAGCCCCGACCCACTGACCCCCTCCCCATAGCTCAGTGTCGTTTTCTGTCTGAGTCCGGGGATAAACCCATGTCCCTTCCGAAGGCAACTCTCTCTGTCGGTGCTGAATCCAAATGTGTTCTTTCGAGCCAGCAATCCCTCATGACGGGGAGTCTTATTAGATCTCACACGTTCACATTCCCTTTTTTGTAGAAAAACAGAAAAAATGCTTTAATATCCAAAGAATGGGAACATGAGGGGTGTTTTCGTTTGGGTCCGAGCACATCCATCCACTGTAGGTTAGGCCTTTCCATCTGCGGTTGTTTAGTAGGTTCAACGCAAGGGCAGGTCAGAGGCGTCGCAAAGCAACAGGCGAAATCCCTGCTGTGCCCTCACACAAAACCAGAGCTGATGTTACAGATATACTCTCCGCTGTTATGTCTGTTGATGCACAAAAAGGCTGGGAGATCCTCCAACAGGCACTCTTTTGGGGGAGATGGGTGGGAGGGCAAAGAAGAAAAGCTTGGATCTTCTCGCGGCCAAGGGAATTGCAAGCCAAGGGGCCAAAGTTGGCTCTTTCTGCAGAGGGAAGAGGAAGGAAACACAGCTAAACAAGAGCCATGGATGGGAAAGAAGGGATAACGTGTGGAGACAGCTTCTGAGAGACATGTTTCTTGAGAAGAGGACCAAAACCTCATTCTAAAAGCACACAATCGGTGAATCCAGTGAGCCACGTTCAGCCTCATTTGCCCACTGACTGACGGTCCATCCACCATGCAAGTTCACCTTGAATACAGTAGAGTCTCACATATCCGACCTTTGCTTTTCCAGCAGTCTGTCTTGTCCATACACAATTGGTGAATCCAGCAAGCCACGTTCAGCCTCACTTGCCCACCGACTGCTGGTCGATCCACCATGCAAATTCACCTTGAGTACAGTAGAGTCTCGCTTATCCGACCTTCGCTTATCCGACAATCCAACTTATCCACACACAATTGGTGAATCCAGCAAGCCACGTTCAGCTTCACTTGCCCACCGACTGCTGGTTGATCCACAATGCAAATTCTCCTTGAATATAGTAGAGTCTCGCTTATCCGACCTTTGCTTGTCCGACAGTCCGTCTTGTCCGCACACAATCGGTGAATCCAGCAAGCCACGTACAGCCTCACTTGCCCACCAACTGATGGTCCATCCACCATGCAAGTTCACCTTGAATACAGTAGAGTCTCGCTGATCCGAAGTTCGCTTATCCAACAGTCCGTCTGATTTGCACACAATCGGTGAATCCAGCAAGCCACGTTCATCCTCACTTGCCCACCGACTGCTGATCCATCCACCATGCAAATTCATCTTGACTACAGTAGAGTCTCGCTTATCCGACCTTCGCTTATCCGACAATCCGTCTTATCCACACACAATCAGTGAGCACAGCGAGCCACATTCAGCCTCACTTGTTCATCGATGGTTGATCCATCCACAATGCAAATTCACCTTGAATACAGTAGTCTCACTTATCCGACATTCTGTCTTATCCAACGCTCTTATCCGATGCTTCCCAACTCTCTCTCCATTCTCAATAAGTGAAAATGACAAGCAGGAGGACGAGGGAGCAAAGGGGGAAAAGAGGCAGGACCGGAAGCAGAAGCACCCTCTCTCCTCCCATCTGTAATTTCCACACACCTCTTCCGCATCCGGGCACTTCCTGCTGGACTGCTCTAGTCCCGAAGTGTTGCCTTTCCTTCACCCCTTGAGTCCCTGTTGTTAATATTCTAGATGTGTAATGCTGCATTGGACTCCCTATTTTCCGACATTTTTGTTTATCCGACATTCTGCTGGCCCGTATATGTCGGATAAGCAAGACTCTACTGTATTTCATTCAGTCCTTACTATCTTGGTTTATGCAGTTGGGCAAAGGCATTTGAAAGGATAGGAGGGTTTGGTCCCTGGGTTTTGTAGTTAAAGGCAAAGGTTTCCCCTTGACATTAAGTCTAGTCGTGTCCGACTCTGCTGGATGGTGCTCATCTCCATTTCTAAGCCGAAGAGTCAGCATTATCCGTAGACAACTTCAAGGTCATGTGGCCGGCATGGCTGCATCAAATGCTGTTACCTTCCCACCGGAGCAGTACCTATTGATCTACTCACATTGGCATATTTTCAAATTGCAAGGTTGGCAGAAGCTGGGGCTAACGACGGGAGCTCACCCTGCTCCGAGGATTCCAACCGCTGACTTTTCGATCAGCAAGTTCTGCACCACCATGGCCTCTTTTTATTGTTGTGGTTACTTTTTGTGGTTATTGCTTTGTGGTTACGAGATCCTACCCTGTTTCCCTGAAAATAAGACAGGGTCTCGTATTAATTTTTGCTCCAAAAGATGTGTTAGGGCTTATTGTCAGGGGATGTCTTTCCCCCCAAATTGATATATTTTGTTTAATTATAACTAGGCTTGTTTTTGATGTAGGGCTTATGTTTTGGGAATCCTCAAAAATCCTGAAAAATCATGCTAGGGCTTATTTTCAGGGTAGGTCTTATTTTTGGGGAAATGGGGTAAATTGGATTTTTGAGACCCTAGCTTTGGGAGGTTTGTGGTTCTTTGGGTATGAATGACCAAGCGGCACCCTTGTCCGTAGAATTGCACTGGATGCCCGCTTCGTTAGGCCTTTTTTAGGTGCTCCATTGCCATTCGATGGTCTCCAAAGCTCAGAAACGAGAGAATAGCATCACAAAAGTGCCGGCTGTCCTCATAACAAGCAGGCAGCAGCTCCCTTCCGATGAGCCATACACCTTTGAAAATTCTCATTTCTCCCAATTACGGTCTCGTAGAGCCAATCAAAGGGGTCTTTTTCTTCATGGGTTATGGGTCACGTCAGGAACGGAGCCTTCCCTTTAAAGCGGAGGAGCTTTGAGGATCTCCCTGCCTTCCTTCCCTTTTCTTCTTCCCTCCTTTCGTTCTTTTTTTTTCTTCCTTCGGCTCGGCAGAAAACGGGATTGCCAAAGAGGCTTTTGAGCAAATGCCGCAGCGCCCGGCTCACAAATGACCATCTCCGCCAGAGAGATAGTTAGCGGACCAAGCTGTTCCCCGTCAAGCCCAGATGTTCAAAATTGGGACAATTGCCCAGGTTTGATGAAACTGCAATCCCTTCAGCTGTTAAGGGATAGATCTCGCGGGGAAGAAGAATTTATTTGGCAGGTAAAGGCGGCTTGAGGTGGGCGGAAGGGAGGAAGGAATTGCATTCCTGTCGCAAAGGAGAGAAATGGGCCGCTCCAGGAAAGCTCCTCCATCTTCGTCGTGCCAGAACATGCTTCGAATTTGAGTTTCCGACCGGTGCCTACCTGCCCACCATTTAAAAAAAGGGAATCTGCAATTCCACTGGAGTTGCAAGGGGAACCAAAGTGGGGAGGGAGAGACAGCGTTTGGAAATGCCAGCAAACGTTGAGGCGGATCACCCACTGCCTGATCTGGGGAAGTAGATCTAGCGTGTGACGATTGGTGTCCGGTGCTGTAACCTTTGGACTTGCTCAAACTCCTTAATAATAAAAAAGGAACTCATTATTACGTATTAGCTGTGTTGCTGGTGATTCTTCATCATGAAGGTGAGACTTGACCATAAACTCTCACCTTCCTTTCATTTTCACACATATCCAAAACAATTATCAATAAACCACCATGGGTTTCTGATTGGCAGTGAATCCAATGGGTCCTCATTGGAATCACTGCCAATCAGAATCAAGGATCTTGCAGGATGGTATGGTCTGCTTTTCCATTTCAGGAAGGTCCTCTTTAGAAGAGAAGATCCCTTTAGACCTCCTTTCATTTCCACACATATCCAAAACAATTATCAATAAACCACCATGGGGTCCTTATAGATACCACTGCCAATCAGAATCAAGGATCTTACAGGATGGTATGGTCTGTTTTGCCATTTCAGGAAGGTCCTCTTTAGAAGAGATCTCTTTAGACCTCCTTTGATTTTCACACATATCCAAAAATTATCAATAAACCACCATTGGGTCCTCATTGGAACCACCGCCAATCAGAACCATGGATCTTACAGGATGGTCTAGTCTGCTTTTCCATTTCAGGAAGGTCCTCTTTAGAAGAGAAAATCTCCTTAGATTTCCTTTCATTTCTACACATATCCAAAACAATTATCAATAAACCACCATTGGGTCCTCATTGGAAGCACCACCAATCAGAATCAAGGATCTTTCAGTTCTATGTTTCTGCCCCAGGAACATTGTCCCTCGAAGAAACAAAGAGACACATTTCTCCCTCCCTTCCCTCCTCACATATACCCAAATAATGATCAATAAACCACCACGGGGTCCTCATTGATACCACCAACAATCAGAATCAAGGATCTTGCAGGATAGTCTGGTCTGCTTTTCCATTTCAGGAAGGTCCTCTTTAGAAGAGAAAATCTCCTTAGATTTCCTTTCATTTCTACACATATCCAAAACAATTATCAATAAACCACCATTGGGTCCTCATTGGAACCACCACCAATCAGAATCAAGGATCTTTCAGTTCTATGTTTCTGCCTCAGGAACATTGTCCCTAGAAGAAACGAAGAGACACATTTCTCCCTCCCTTCCTTCCTCACATATACCCAAATAATGATCAATAAACCACCATGGGTTCCTCATAGATACCACTGCCAATCAGAATCAAGGATCTTGCAGGATGGTCTGGTCTGCTTTTCCATTTCAGGAAGTTCCTCTTTAGAAGAGAAGATCTCTTTAGACCTCCTTTCATTTTCACACATATCCAAAACAATTATTAATAAACCACCATGGGGTCCTCATTGGCACCACCACCAATCAGCATGAGGGATCTTCCAGATCTATGTTTCCGTCCCAGGAACGTTGTCTCTAGAAGAAACGAAGAGACACATTTCTCCCTCCCTTCTTCAAATATACCCAAATAATGATCAATAAACCATCACGGGGTCCTCATTGATACCACTGCCAATCAGAACCAAGAATCTTGCAGGATGGTCTGGTCTGCTTTTCCATTTCAGGAAGGTCCTCTTTAGACTTTGTTTCTTTTTGAAACATATCCAAAGTAATTATCAATATACCATGACAGGGTCCTCATTGGAACCACCACCAATCAGAATCAAGGATCTTACAGGATAGTCTGATCTGTTTTTTTCTATTTCAGGAAGGTCCTCCTTAGAAGAGAAGATCTCTTTAGACCTCCTCTCATTTTCACACATATCCCAAACAGTTATCAATAAACCACCATGGGGTCCTCATTGGAACCACCACCAATCAGAATCAAGGATCTTCCAGATCTATGTTTCTGTCCCAGGAACGTCGTCTTCAGAAGAAATGAGGAGACTCGTTTCTCCCTCCCTTCCTTCTTCACATATACCCAAATAATGATCAATAAACCTCCCTAGGTTCTCAATGCGCACTCTTCCCAACAATGATTCAAAGGTTAACAAGGCCGCCTCGGAGTTCCTTGTGTTGCCGTTCCCTCTCGAAAGAGCACAAATGAGTAAAATGGCACAAGAGGCTAATAAGGACGCCCCTCAAAACAATCATTTGCAGGTCGTCAGCCGAGAAGCGGATCTCTTCAGGCCTGACTCCGTCTGCCCACAATGGCATCCCAGACTCAGGAATGCGGGGCCAGAAATGCCGAGGAAGGGGAGGAGCGGGGAGTTGTTAATGAGGGGTCCTATTTAAAGGCGGGGGCCCAAGGGTACCTCACTTGCATCCCGCTCTGGCGCACAAACTAGCGGATCAGCAGCGCTCACCAAGGTAGGTGTTCTTCTGTGGCGTTCTCTTTCATCCTCCTATCTGTGTTCAGTTATCCATCTGTACAGAATTGGGACTAACAATTCAATGTGTTGTTTAAATAACTATCTTGTTTGAGAAATAAACCGAGCAGTTTCACAACGTCAATATTCAGCAAGGGAGTTGTAGTTTGGAGAGGCACTAGAACTCTTCGGCAGGGAAAAGTTAAAGTCCTTGCAAAACTGTAACTCATTATTCCATCGCATTGAGCCATGACAGTTAAAAGTAGTGCTAAACTGCATTGTTCTAAAGTGTAGAGGCCCCTTGAGTCTATTCTAGTTGGGAAACTATAGCTCCCATGAGTCCACAGAGTCCAGCAACAGCCTTTGAAGTGTTACCAAATGGTATTAATTCTGTAGCGTAAATGCACCCTCGTAGTAGAGCCAAACTTCGTCTGATTTGTTGTCGAAGGCTTTCATGGCCGGAATCAGTGGGTTGCTGTGAGTTTTCCAGGCTGTCTGGACATTTTCCAGAAGCATTCTCTCCTGATGTTACGCCCACATCTGTGGCAGGCATTCTCAGAGGAGATGGGTCCCTTAGGAGAGCTCTCCTGTCATGAGACTTGGGTAAGGCTTTATATTGCAGACTGAAAGCCAAAACAAAGGTTACAACATCTGTTATAGAACTCCAATATGCTGATGACAACGTCATCTGTGCGCATTCAGAAGAAGACCTACAAGCCACTCTAAACTTCTTAGAAGCATACGAAAAGCTCAGTAGGCATCCTCAGAGGTTGTGAAGTCTGTTGGAAACTAGGCAAGTGGGGTTTATATATCTGTGAAATATCCAAGGTGGGAGAAAGAACTCTTGTCTGTTGGAGGGAGATGTGAATACTGCAACTGATCACCTTGATGAGCATTGAATAGCCTTGCAGCTTCAAGGCTTGGCTGCTTCCTGCCTGGGGGAATCCTCAGTTGGGAGGTGATTAGCTGGCCCTGATTGTTTCATGCTATGTTCAGCAAAGGACAAGAGTCACCTGATGAACCACCTGGACACAGCATATGAATTGAGAACACAGAAATGCTGGACCACTCTCACAACCACCATGTCAGGCTACACAGAGAAGCCATTGAAATCCACAAGAAGCAGGTGGACAATGTCAACAGAAAGGAGGAAACCATGAAAATGAACAAAATCTGGCTACCAGTATTTTTAAAAAACTCTAAAATCAGAACAACACTCAAAAACAGGGAATTCCAGACAAGAAATAATCAGGGCCAGCTAATCACCTCCCAACAAAGGATTCCCCCAGGCAGGAAACACCCAAGCCTTGAAGCTGCAAGGCCATTCAATGCTAATTAAAGGCCAAACGTCAGGAGATAATGCTTCTGGAACATGGCCAGACAGGCCGGAAAACTCACAGCAACCTTGTTAGATGTTTTTACTGCCAATACTAATATTCTGAACCTTTTCTCCTTTTCCCTTGTGTCTGTGGGCTGAGCAACATAATGATAGCACATTACAGCTGTCAAACGATGGTCAGGGTACGATATCTTTGTTTTGACTGTTCGTTTCCATCTCCGAAGTGTGCATGCCTCCCCAGGTGCCACTTCGCAACACCCGAAAGGCATGGCCCTTCCCACTTCTAGCCTGACTTGCAGAGGAGCTGTCCATAGTGCTGAAGGTGGGACTCCTAGGTTTGGTACTTTGAAAGGGCTGCATAAAACAACTGTGTGCAACTTGGGTATAGAACAGGTATGGGTAAACCCAGGCCCGGGGGTGGCATGCGGCCCCTTCAGCTCTCTCTCTCTCACCATCCTATCCTTGATTATCTCTTTCCTTTCCTCCCTCTCTTCTCTCCTTACCTCCCATTCCCTCCCTCCTTCCTTCCCTTTCCCTTCTCCTTCTTTTTTCCCTCTTTTCTCTCCTTCCCTCTCCCTTCCTTCCCTCCCTTTCCTTCTTCTTCCTTCCTTTTTCCTCTCTCTCCCTCTTTCTCTTCTTCCTCCTTTCCTCCCCTCCCTCTTCCTCCTTCTCCTTTTCTTTCCTTCCTTTCTCTCCCTCCTCTTTCCCTTCCATTCCCTTCCACCCTTTCATCCTTCCTTCCTTCCCTCTTTCCTCCCTCCATTCTCTTTCCTTCCTTCCCTTTTGTCTTTCCTTTCTTCTATCTTTCCGCCCTCCCTCCATTCTCTTCTCCCTTTCCTTCCATCCATCCTTCTCTTCTTCCCTTTCTTCCCTCTTTCCTCCCTCCTTCCCCCTTCCTTCCTTCCCTTTTGTCTTTCCTTCCTTCTCTCTTTCCTCCTTCCTTCTCTTTTGTCTTTTCTTCCATTTTTCCTTCCTCCTTCCCTCTTACTCCCTCTCTAAATTTCCTTCCACCCTTTCGTCCATCCTTCCATCGATCACTTTCCTCCTTCCTTACCTCTCTCCCTCTTGCTCCTTCCTTCCTTCTCTTTTGTCTTTCCTTCCTTTTCCTCCCTCCTTCCCTCTTTCTCCCTCTTCCTCAATTCCCTTCCACCCTTTCGTATCCTTCCTTTTTCCTCTCTTTCCTTCCCTCTCCTTTTCTCCTTCCTCTTTTTTCCTCTCTCCATTCCACCCTTTCGTCCTTCTTTCTTTCCATCTTTCCTCCCTCCTTCCCTCTTCCTTTCTCCTTCTTTCCTTCCTTTTTGTCTTTTCTTCCTTCTCTCTTTCCCTTCTCCCCACACTCTCCATTCCCTTTCACCCTTTCCTTCTTCCCTTTTTCCTTCTTCCTTCCCTCCCTTTTGGTCTTTTCTCCAACCTTCCCCTTCCTCCAACTCTTCCTTCCTTCTCTTTTTCCTTCCTC